CGAATGATGAAGCGAAAAGGCGCAGGAACTCTAAGTGAACAATGGCATATTCGATAAAGAGCCATTAAAGAAGAAGAAGAGCCTCGTATGCTTTTATGAAGAGCTGAATTATTTTGCTTGGAATATTGTGGAGGGTTTGCTCAAGTAATCTTTACCACACAGTTCAAGATTTTGAAGATTTGTTTGCTTACAATCAAGAGGCGTTTCGTTCCGCTGTGCAGTTTCGATTCTTTAAACCGAGATACTCATCGAGTTGAACAGAAAAGAGTGCAAAAACAAGGACAACTTGAAAGAGACAACCAGATTTTAGTAAATAAATATCAAAGAAAGGAGCAGGTTGCCGCGAATATTCCCCTCTTTTCTAATTGCCTGGGAAGACAAGTATTTTCTTCATAAGCTTTTATAATCTCTTTTACACCTCCTACTTTCTTTGCTTATGTATTATGTTAGCGCAAAAGCTCGTGCTGTATATATTTGGGACTTAAGTGCAGAATCCATGAAATAGATAGAACAACACTTAAACTATTTAGATCGAAGTCGGCACATCTTATCTCTTGAGTTTAGATATCTCTCATTATTCGAAATTGCTAAAGCCTTTGGATGACCAGCATGCAGAGCAGAAACTTTGCATTGCAACATTTTGCACCCTTCCGGTTCATTCAAAATTATTCGTGATTTTGCCGGACGAGTGATTCCTGAGGAATAAAACAACCAAAATAAATAGCACAAATCACAAAGAGAAAACACACAAAATTGCACCAAATTTAAGGAATGTTTGAAATGTAAGAGCTCATAACTCGATTATCACTCTCAACCGAAATTCCACTTGAATTGAACCTTGAAAATTTGTGAGCAATGGCTGGATGTGATGCCAACGAGAACTTTCAGAAGAGCTCCGAACAGGCTTCAGAAGCTGCTACGAAGAATCGTATGCACATGAAACAGTCTTGGGTTTGCCCCGCTGAGCGTTATATGAGACAGAAAGGGGATGGGATCCGGTCGTACTCTAGATAATTTCACATATAAATCCTGTCATCCTTGCAGATGCAGTAGCAAAACTATGAACATTCTGAATGCGCGAGAGTTTTAGGACAAAGGCGAGAGCACGTATCGACTGGCTGCGAATTTCCTGATGTTTATAGGCAGTAGCCGGAGGAGATGCATGGCCAGAGCGCGATGCACACATTATTCGTAGCTCTCGTATCAGAGCCCCACTCGCCACACACACAATCTCCGCTTTCGAACCATAGATGGGATGTGCCGAAAGCACCTACGCAGCCATTTTTGTGAGAACAAACAAAAGATTTCATTAAGACTCTATGTTGACAATCTCTGCCTTGAAAGAGCTGCAATATGCGAAAAAAATTGTTTGCAAAAGAGGGTAAGAAAGTTTATATCGGCACAAAACTGCAATAAATGGCGAAATTGGCATTAATCATGGAGAATGTGAGAGCGATGAAATCGATTGTCTAGTAAACAATGAAAGAATGGGAGAGAAAGATTCAGCAATTGCAGAATGCTGATTAAAACGATGAGAAAGAACGGCCACTGAGCTGAACTGCTTTTAAAAGCTAAAACTGATGATGAAAAGAGCATGAAAGATTACTTTAAGAAGTTCCGTAATTTTTTTTTTAATTGTGTGTCCCAACAGGATAAGGAGGTCACTGACGATCAGCATGCGTAACTTGCAATAATGTTTCAATGACTCCATACTCGGACATACGATTCTTACGGTGTAAATGCATAATTCTAAATTCTCCTCAATTGTAGTTACCTTGCTAAGGTCTTTCAAAAACACAAAATCCGGTATTCAAAGCATTCAGCTTCACAGATAATAAGGGCGGGCTGAAGCATTTTAAAGTTTTAGTGGTTTGCAAAACATTCCGGTCAGCAAACTAAACGTGACCTTCTTCTATGTGTAAAAATTTGAGCCAAAACAATGGTATGAAAATTGCGATCTTTGCATTGGCTTTATAAGTTTTGTCTCGAAATATTGTGTAGCCTCATCGTTTCAATTTTTAATATTGAAAATCCACTGAATTGGCGCATGACCTCTTGTGAGATCGCTGGAATATGTCATTTTTACAAAAAAGCGAAATTAGCATAGACTATTATATGTTCCAGAAAATGATCATGATCCCTCATCATCTGCGAGCATATTCGTGTACACTTATTTTCCAGAAAATCTCGCAGAGATGGACTATTACACGAGGATGAAATATGCAGTCGAAAAGCACATCAAGAAAGAGGTTTTAAAGGCACCGTCCACCTAAGATAGGGGTCTTGAGCTATTGGCAGTTTATGATAGTAGGACCCCTATCAAACCAATGCCCAAGCAGTAGCGCAAATGTGGCTATGGAAGCGAGAAAATCGCTTTGAAATGGTGGAGATGCATGAGGACCTCAAGTCAGCACCGCCCTTCTCCAGTAATGCCCGCCCATTCGTGCGCACCCTTTCAATCACCGTTTTATAAAGCCAGCCTGCGAATTTTCCGCCTTGGGTGTTGTCGGGGTTTTCGCGGATTCTTGACTTCACATTCGGAATCAGGGACATGAAAAGGCCCCGGAACGACCAAAACATGGAAGTCGAGAATCTTGGTGGAGGGTGCCTATAAGAAAATAGTTAAAGTTTACATGCATTCCTCAATGGCTCAGTCATGCAGCTTTGAAAACTCTTCTGTGCAGACAAATGAGTTGTTTGTGTAGAATTTGTAAAGAAATGGAGAGATTATACGAGGTGTAGTTGATGTTATGCAATAAATTTTTCAGAAAACGTTTTTGCCAGCATGACTAATAAAGAAATATACCGCCAATTTAAGAAAAAAGTTTGAGTGTTGAAATATGAAATGTCAAGCAGAGTTTATGGGAGACAGCTGCATAAAAACTGCAGCGAAAATATCATATGGCAGTGGGTTACAACAAAATGACACAGAAATGAACAAAACTACTTAGGTGTTTTAGGCCTCGGGCATACTTCACGCGATTTCATACGCCACGCGATCTGGCAGATTGCCAGATTGGATTTCTTCTGAACCCACATTGACAGTCTAAAAATGCATAGCCTGTATAGCTCTCGTAAACTGATATGCAATACTTTGTTACATTAGAAATGCGTCCACGATGAGTTACTCGCGTGAAGTATGCTCGAGGCCTTAGGCACATCTTTTACCATCCTTTTACTCGGTTGATTTTTTTCCGTACTACTCATAAAATCTGAAGCCTCAAACTAAGATTATGAATGCACGGAGAGATCTCAATCCTTAGAGGTTGATCCAGTCACCTTAATTCCCTTCATCCTCCACTACTAAGAGATGCTTCAGTTACAATCTTTACCAAGTGATTGAAATCATGCGATGCCGAGGCGATGGAAAAACATGAAGAGGCGTTTTATGGTTTCATCATCAAGCCCCCTTTCGTCAGTAGCTTAAAAACATTTGCAGCCGTCATGGTAATCTATACACACTGTGCCCCGAATTATGCTTATGTGGAACAGATACGAACGAAATTTTGCTTGGAATCTGATATATTGCGGAATTACATATGATATTGATAGAGCAAATTACAAGGACATATCAGATACCCGATATAGAACATTTGTCGTAAACTGCAAAAGTGCGAATTCTGTCGAAGTGCTGAGAAACAATCAGCCAACTTTGTCTCGCTAGAGCGGAATACAGGGTCAGATCTGGGACGCACGTCAATACCTTTCTAGGAAAAAAAGAAGTGCGCGCTTGCTACATGAGTTACGACTACAGTCGGATTGTATACAATTCAAATAGTTTGATATGAAAAGTATTACAAGAAATGCTTTTTTTACATGGTATAAAAGGCTAGGACTATAATAGTCTATTTATGTGTCTTTCTAGATCATGGCGCTTGTAAAGATGTAACTGTCAGTGTAGTAAAAAAAGAACACATTAGGCATATAATGGAAATTTTTTGAAGTATAAAAACCCACGCCGCCAAAAGGTTTTTGGGAAAAGGACTGGACAGAGATTGGTTTGTGAACAAACTGAAGGTAACCCCCAATTATACAAAAATCAAACACCATATAGAATGCACAATTACGACTTCTCGCCAAGAATTAGGATTATTAGATGACAACGTGTCAAGGGTGAATAGCAAAAGGTTGTAGGCGAGTAGAGCACAAACTGCGTAAGATTTTATCCTGTTAGTGAGTTTTTTTATGTCTCTGGCAGGCAGGATTAATGGGCGTATGGGCCAACTCAATTTCCGTTGATTTCTTTTTCCTCTATAATATTAGAGCAACCGTTAAAACAGCAAAAAATGGCTGATATTTGCTGACTGCTAAAATCTTCGAGTCCATGCTATGGCTGCAACAGTTTTGAGAAAAATTGCATGTTAGATTTGATTGTATAAAAGGTGGAATAGTGAGAATTGCGATGTGTGCGAAATACGGCAAAGCGATGGAAACTCAATATTCGTGTGATTGCGGAACCAAAATATTTGTTGTTTGGGTTGTGTGTCATCTGTTTCCGTTGCATGGCATGGAGCTAATCGTTTTCAATTACCAGTTGTTTGGTTTTGGGGAACTCTTCTTTCTCCATACTTTTTTGTCATCAAAAGAATTCATCAATCTACACTCTTAGGCCCCGGGGCAGACTTCACCCGACTTGATCGTCGCGATCTAATCGCCAAGATTTTCATTCATTTTCATTTTACATTCAAAAATTTCGGGCTGGAAAAGTATCACAACCGAATGCGAGTTGATCGGCATGGAATGATGTTGTAACAGTTGTCTCGTCGCGATTTAGTCGCGACGATCAAATCGCGTGAAGTCTGCCCGGGGCCTTCCACTTCACCACTTCTTCTCAAGTATAATATGCCCTCCCATTACCTCTTCGGGCAAGCGCGGAAATTCCAGCTCAATTAAAAAAAAAGAATTTGACATTGAAATGAATCCTTTGATATCAGCCTGAGTTTTGAGCTTGTTTCAACCAAATAAACGATAAGCAACTTATCGTATATGACTAGCAAGATTTATTGAAGCTCACCTGCAGTAACTCCATTCACTTCAATATTTTCCGCAATGCTGATGATTGAAAAACCGAGCTTGAGTTCGCTTTCGGCTAGAACCAATTTCAACTCTAAGTTGACATAAACGTAGCAGACCTGAAAACTTGGTTTATGCACCAGATACTGTTACATCCTCCCACCTTTCCCCTCCCCTTACTCCTAAGTGAAGCAGCTTTCTTCCAAAAAATTCACTCATGTGTTTGAAAACGTATCGCATTGTATTTCATTAAGATTGATGTGCTTCAACTCTCAAGTGGTCAGTTTTGGAAACCCCGCTGGACATAAAAAAGTGTGAAGTGCTGAAACTGTTAATGCATTTACGTAAAAAAACAGACCGGCATCGCAGCATCCTTGAATATCTCCGGTTCGAAGTATCTTGGTTGGTCAACAGTGTTCTCATAATTTCGCGAAACTGGAGGAGGCATCGTCTAAAATAAAATGTTATGATTTTTTGAACTGCAGTTGCGCAGCAGTGAGTGAAATTTTAGTGTTCAAGCAAAGGAAGAGGATTATATAGGTTTTGAAGGAGATAACCAGTCTGAACTGTTAGAGTTGTAAAAAGTCTGAGAGGAAGCTTCTCAAAGCTCTATATTAACCCATTTGATTTTGTCCGCATAGATTAATTCTTCCTTTTTATTTCGTAGACGAGTACAACAACCAACATTGTCAGTCCGTTCTGCGGTTTTTTATGAACTATGAGTGGTATTTTGATTACTCTCTCAAAAACAGTGGCTCGGCAAAATCGCAACTGGAGGCTTTTCACAATTACATGGCCTTCTGGATCAGCTGAGTCAGGTACTGTGCTTGAAATGTCAAAAAAGTGTTTTTTTAAGTCTCCAAGGTGAAAATGTTTAAAAAAACACTTTTTTTTATTCAAGCACAGTACCTGACCCAGCTGGTCTAGAAGGCCATGTATTAGGTTGGTGCAAAAGTAATGCGCGTTTTGCGAGTTCCCACTTTAACGTGCTATAACCTTCTAAAAAATCCGTATTTTTCAGTGCGGTCAAGTCCATCAGAGGCACCAAACTTCTCTCTATACAGCGCACACTAATTTGTGCTAACATCACAAAACGTTGGAAAAATATGGATTGATAAGCAAAAAAAATTTTTTTCGGAAAGCTCGTTTTTAACTGATCATAACTTCCTTCAAGATTTGTCGGTATAAATGAAAAGTTGACTGTCTTGTAGCCGAAAACCAGTAGTACGAAAAAAAGTTGAAAGGGGCTCAAACAAAGAAAATTCGCGAAAATGAAAAAAATAATATTGAAAACTGCCGCTTTTTTCGACATTTTTTCGTAGCCCTCCAAATCCCAAAATATGGAGATTTTTGATTTTCTGTGTACTGAACAGCTTCCACATTTCTGCAAAAACTGTCAACAGGAGGCCCACTCTTACGCTTACACAAATGAGCGAAACTTTGGCGATTGCCTTCTTCAAAGGAAATCTATGGGCCACGGAATGGTCAAAACCATCACTCATGTTGAGGCGCCGAAATTTCAGTCTAGATAATTTCTGAGAAAACAGCAAAGTGTGCATAACGTAGAAAAATTCTACTACATACAGCAGTTCAATTTTCAAAAGAATGCGTTTACTCGCGCTGAAATTCTGGCCAAAAAAGTAAGTGCAATGAAATTCTGATTTTGATTGCGGTTGTATGAAGCTCTAGAAATTTCTAACGAATGAGGCTAGAAGCTTATTTCAACCACCACTGAATAGAGCATGAAAGAAGCTTCTTGATGGTATGCTGGGTAAGTTTCATAAGAGAAGTTTTGATGGAGAAAAGCTATCTTGAAACAAGCGCTAGAAAAACGCGCATTACTTTTGCACCAACCTAATAGTTGTGGAAATCAAATCCCCCACTCGCGATTTTCCCGAGCTACTGCCTTTAAGTAAGAATATAGAATTCGCTTACTTTCTGGCTACGTGAACGGCTTTTGATTGCTAACTTGCTCTTCGTAGGTTCTGCTTTTACTTGTTCAATTGTTCCTTTGCCGGTTTTCTCGAACAACCATCTGAAGATTCAAAAGCGATGTGCACGAAATAGGTAGAATAAGCTTGATAACACCAACGCTAAACTGGCAATCGGTTCATTTCGAAATGAGCGCATGCAGAGTACCGATGAGCATGGATCTTCGTAAGTTTGTGGCAGCTAAAAAACAACTATTTGTGCAGGTTTTATAGTCTATTCTCAAAAAAGCATTAAAACATACTATTTTCTTCCGTTTCTTCTGGCGGTCCTTGGGTAAGTAATGATGAACGGACACGTAGGCCATGATGAGTGTGTATAGAAGCTAAAAAAGGCAGTGGAACAGTATAGATGGGCGATAGCAAAGAGTATGTAGGGCAGTGGTCTTGATTCAAGCAGCCGATAGTGGCTACGTGTGAGTGAAACTATGCGAAACCATTTGTGGAACGAAAACTCGGGGATGTTCTCAGAGGAAACAGGTTATTGGAAATCATATGGGCTTTTTTGAAGTTCGAGATATACCTCAAGAAATGAAGAGCGAAGATGTGAATATGTTGACAATGAACTTTTCATAGTCTTGACTACACCACTTCTGAAACGTCATAACCTAGAACAGATTGTTAAAGAATTATAAAAACCTATTTTGAGAGGTATAAGAGAGTGCGCAACAAGACTGAACGAAATGTGTTTAGTTTCATTATTATTGCTTTCTTAATAGGTGAGCTTCCCGACGCATATGGCGCTGTGCAAAGAAAAAAGTACCAGTCTAATTGAGTGAGTATTGCCGGTTACAAATTCCATGAGTTCTTTCCGATTCAGAGCAATTCCCCACCTTTCGAAAGCTTATTTTGGCACAACGAGATCACCTTACGATAGCAATAGGAGTCAATTGCATAACACATTCTACGTGACGTTGAACCAGTATAGTTGTTGCAGTTCTCTCAAATAAAAGCTTTTTTTTATACTCATACGAATTGCCTTTCTTTGCAGGAATACACAACACGAACCCCACTTCTGTACAATTGAAAGATGTCAAGAGAAACCTTTTCTGGCCGAAAAATCGTTTGCGAAATATTAAGAAGTTAGCTTATTTCGACTAGTTACTTGAAAAAGTCTGCTGGGAGAAAATGTAGGGCCTGTAGTAAACCCCCCGGTTGTCGTGACGTATAGCTCGGAGCCTGCTGTGACATGTGCTGACTAATGTGGTGCGAGGCAGGCAAAGCGGCTATCCTTTACCATTGCCGCCGGATGCAATCAATGCAAGGCGTCAGGGTGCTCGCACTTTGTCGCTATGTGTCACCACATATCGCGACATCTAGCGACATGTGGTGACGTACAAGAAGACGAAATACTTTGTTCAGTATGGAGTCTAGTCTGCGCCCAAGTTGCCTTGGACGCAGACATCCCATGGCCATCATCATGTTGTACAGCACTGCGCATGCTATAATGATTTTAGCTGCACGCTTCGGGGCCACACGGATCATATCCTTCAAGATTGCGAACTTCCGCTTCCATCGACCGAATGTGCACTCGACGATGACTCGCATCTTCGAATGCCATCGGTTGTAGGAGACTTCCTGCCTGGTCGTCGGATTCCTAATGGGAGTGATAACGTCGTTCCCATTCGCGAATCCGGAGTCTCCAAGAAAGCTATAGCCATGTGGAACTACATTCTCCTCGTAGGCGTACTTTAACTGCGAAGAGGCGAAGATACTGGCATCATGAACAGACCCCGGGAAGTTCGCATTTATGTACATAAACCGTCCGCGGGCGTCAACAGCAGCCAGCACATTAAGGGCTGTGAAGCCCTTGCGGCAGTAGTACTGCCAGCCAGAATGTGCTGGCTTCTGTAACCGAATGCAGCTTCCGTCCACGGCTCCGATGATGTTCGGAAATGCGCCGGTTCGTGCGAAGGCGGCGGCATTCATTCGGCAGAACTCCTCGTCCCCTAATCGGCAGCGGATGAAGTGCCGCACGATTAGGGAGTGGTTGAGAGCGCGGACAACCACTCTCACCGCATTCGAGACTGTTTTCTGGCTGACACCAATGGTGTCCGCCAAAACCTCTTGGTGGGCGTTGGTTGACAAGTAACGAAGAGCAATGACAACCTAAATGAGGAGGCATTTAGTTTTATATTCAGTTCAGAAGCCCTTATCAAAGCTAACATGCTAAACATCTACTCAGACACATCTCTGCTTATTTGCAAAAATTTTCCCCGTAGAGGATTTGATCCCATTAGATACCCCGGCAAACCCCCGCTCGAACGCACTGCGCTAACAAACACATGTCTCCTATGAATCTTCTACATGTTTGCGTCATGCATGCGAAATAATCGCGTCATACGCATGTGTGCATAACATTAACAGTTCAACGAGCCATAGTTAAACAAATCTTAAAAATTTGTACTGACCTTGTTCTCCAAACTAACGGACCAGTTTGGAGTTTCACGTCCTCCTATCAGCGGCGCGAGCAATCGACAAATCCTCTTCAGATGCCCCTCTTCCATCCGAAACTTCCGCGCCAATATCCGCTGGTTTTGATGGAAAAGGCGAATAGGGTGCAGCCGGCCGTAGCGGATATTGGCGCTCCTTCTCACAGTACGGTGCGCAAAGATAAGCATAATTCTGTAAAAGACATTGATCAGCTGCGGTTCCTCATCAAAACTGATGTAAACATAAGATAGTAAGTCAAAAATGAAGAAATAGGCGCGCTCGCGCGAGGATAGTCATTTATTGGATTTTCTCTGATTGATTTACCTGCTTTGGCAAGAATAGTATGTTGCATTCTTGCCTTGCAAAGCAAATACCGCAGTGCATATCGGTACTCATAGCGCAGTGCGTGTGAGCGCTGTTATCGCGATCATCAGCGGTTCGATGACGCGCAGAGACGATCGTTTTGCGGCGCCCTCCGGATAGCTCGCTATAGTCTTGCGAGATACTCCTAGCTATCGCGACATAGTCCCTCTATGTTGTGACAACCAGGAGGGGTTTACTACGGGCCCAGGTAACGGCTAAACTGCACCGCCAAATTATGCCAAAGGTAATGGTTACACGCAGTGGGTTAGAGGCCTTCAACAGCTGGTCAACCTGTCTCGAGAGTCATTTTTGCTCTTGCCATCTTCACTCTCATCATATTAATCGCCTTGTAGAATCACTCACCTTTGGAAGAACAAATAATAGAATAATCACTCCCTAAATTCTTCTAATTCTAGATTTTCCAATGACTGCTCGGATCCATTCTTTGCTAGTTTTAAACGCATGTCTAACTAAGATTTGCTTGCTGTATTTCATCAGAGACAGTACTTTTATCGGCTAGCTAATATGGTCGCTCTTACAAATTTAAAATTTATGATAACTACCCTATTTTCCGGTTTATAAGCCGCACCTTATATAAGCCGCACCCACCGCAGCGAACAATGGCGCGAAAGAGCCTCCTAAAAGAAAGTTTTGATCTAACAACTGAAAACTCGCTGCATTTTGTGACTGCTTTTCATTGCGCATGTTCACGTTTTCAGATATTTCTTTATTCTTTCCAGAGATTCGGACGATTTTGGGGTGCTTGGGTTGTGTTTTTTCCTCAAGGATACAATGGAGTTGACCGTGCTTTCTTTTGTTCTCAAAGATGTTAGTGAGGTTCGATTTAATGATTGTTGATGATGATGTTGATGTTTCAATGGTGCTTTCAATGCTTCCACAAGAAAGAGTGAAAGCAGAAAGTTACAATCAGGCTGGTGAGGTGGTAGTTGGCTGCTTGCGCGGCTTCGCACATCGCGACCATCATCTCGCATCAGCCCGCGCGCGGCGAAAATAACTGCGGCTTATACGCCGGAAAATAGGGTAGTTTACCACGCTTGCGGCCCTTCATAACGGGTGGCGGTCAAGATGAACGATAGCATGTGCCAGCCGCCAGCTGGGTACCGTACGCTGTGCGCCGGTCGCTCCGCCCCCTGTTAATTAGCCTAGGAATGCGTTGCAGCTATCAGAAAACTTCCTAATACTTCGTTCATGCTTCTTCAGTTGGTTGCAGTTTGGATAACAGTAGATTTCAAAATTTCAGTTTAATTGAAAATCAGTTTTAGATCATTTTTCATTATAGCATTAGTTCGCAAGCTCTTTCTAATGTGTTTCAGTTACTTGTTCCTAGTAGGCTTGTCCAAAATGATTTTTCATTGCAGGTATGAGGAAATTGTCTCGAAAATGTTTGTTTGTTTGTTTTTCTCTAATCTATTACCATATTGAATATGCTTTGATGTGCACTCTGAAGTTCATTTTCAAAAAATTCAGCTTATGAAATGCAACACCATTATAAGTTTTATCGGAAAAGTAAGTTTTAAAACCCTAATCATAACTTACAGATTTCATTGCGACAAGAATTCAAAACAGCATTATAGGCGAATTTTGTTTCAAGCGAACTAACTCGTTTTGAAAATATGCGTCATACCACACAAATTTTCTTAGGTTTCAGGAATATCTACTGCACCTATATATTTCCGAAACTGCCTTGAATAACAAAATTCTTTTATTTTGCTTCCAAAAACTGCTATCCTCAATATAAATCGATCTGTAACTCAGTCGAAATTGCGTGTGAACTAGTCGTAAGATGTGAGGTCACTCAGACAATCATGTCTGAGGTGTTCTAGATTGATTTCACACTTCAAAATTCGATATCCAGGAGTCACTAGGTCATTCATAGGTAAATCAGCAAATCTCTCGAATTTCACGACCAAAACATCAGCTATTCATTGAGTGCCAAAAAAAGAAACTAAAACAAAATAAGATTCTGTAAACAGTCAAGCTTCACCCCAGCTTGCAACAAGCTTATATCTCACTATCAAAAGTTATTTTTACTTGACATATCGTCCGAGAAACTCGTCCGCCGCAGTAGGGCGGAGCTTCGAGCGAACACGTTATTGCCAGTTCATGACCCCGAGCGCCACTGTTACCAGCTATCGTTCATATTGACATATACCCCTTCATAACTACAAAATGAATCATAAAAATTCCGAGATGTTATGCATCTATGTTAGTTTTTAGATCTATGTTAATCAAGTATAAGCAATTATGATCCTTAACTTTTTCTCCTTTCTGCACTCTCACTGGACATCTCGCCGAATTTGTTTCAAACTGCGAAAAATAAGGCGAAAAAGAGAGAATTAATTGGAAATGATATTTCTATCATTCCTGCCTTCAAGCATTGCGAAATATCTTAAGAACCAAGTGGACTTTGTTGTCTTTCATGACCATCGAAGATTTTCCGTTATAGGTGGCAGCAGAAGTTCCTCTATGCACCGGTTCCTGAGAATTTTAT